GAATTTTTAAAAATTTAGTGCAAAATATTTAGGGCGGTTATAACCATCCCAAATTTTAGAATTTATAAGGCGGTTATGTAATCGCCTTTAGTATTATAATTTTATTTCGACTTCAAATTCAATAATTTACTCCATTTTTATCAAAAAAAATAAAACAAAAAAATTGCATTGTGTTGAATGCAAATAAAAATCTTTTAAATAACAACTGCATCTTTTATTCATTATGTAGCATAATGTGGATAATAAACTATTAAAAAACTAAAATACAATAATCCATCCATAGCATAACACAAGCAATGGGCAACCAACTAATAAGAAGCTAAAATATATTCACCACAACATGGTAAAATCCTAGATAAATACCAACACAAAACTTAGTTAAAAAGGTCGAAACCCAAGTCTTCATCGGAATCTTTAACGAGCTCTTCCTTCTTCTCCTCTTCCTTGGCAGCTATTGGAGAACCATCGAAGCAGCATCAGCAACTACAAACTTACTAGGATCCTACATCAAATAAGAGCATTAACAAATTTGACAATATACCTAAGGCATAACCAGAATTTAAATCTAAATATGGAACATAGCTTAGTAAACAAATCAACAAATTACAAACCTTATATCAAAGAGGTTACACAATCCAATTAACCCTCCACCAGCAAGATTGATGCTCTGTAATATCTTAGAAACATGGTTGAGAAGGTCAATTTTCATCTTGCTACCTGTCGTTCATTGTATCAAAGAGGTTGCACAATCCAGAAGATCAGCATTAGTGTCCACTATTTATGGTTGATCATAAAAGTAATCCATAGAGTCCAGCAGCATTTTATGTCCTAGAATCACAAACCACAATTGTATATGTAAAGAGAGCTCAAACTATTTGATAAAAATTTTGATTAAATAGTCAATGAAAACATAGTTTTTTTTCGTCTATTTCAGAAAATTCATAGCTAAGGTACTCAGTAGTTCAACAAAAGAAATACTTATGAGTTTCCTCATTCTACAATTGTCATAAAATTTTGCTTTCTTACTTGAGCTATCATCCAGGTTGCTTGAAAAGGAACTGCCATTTGAGAAAGAAGCTTCAAGAACAGATCCAGGACTAAGAGGCTGAAACCCAAGTCTTCAGCGAGCTCTTCCTTCTTCTCCTCTTCCTTGGCAACCCAAAGTCTAAAAGTTTTACTTATAGGCCTGGAGGAGAAAAGGGAATAAAGACAAGAAATTCACGTCAATACGGGGCCATGGATAATATAATGGTGCCTTATTTTTTGAAAGATGTAAAAATACAAAAAACAATACCCCTAGTTCAACTGCATTTTCTGCTACAATGGGGGATCTTTTCCTCCTTCCCTCGAATGCATTTTTAGAAACTATCACTATTTGAACCACCTAGTTAGTAAATGGAATCCCCAGCTTTGTTGCACTCCCTCAAGCAGCAACAACAAGACTTACACAGAAATCAGTGTAGAAATAGTCTATCATCAAATATAATTTTATATCACTTTTCAAACCAAGGTCAGCTTACAAAGGGAAAATCAATCATTCCTGAATGCCTCAAATAAAAATGGACTACAAATTTGATGCCTATGTAAAGAAGTGCATTGTTGGTACTTTAAGTTTTGTTTCTAGGCTTATGATCATACTTATGCATGCACTCTTGGAGTGGCCTCTCGCTCAAATATAGTAACTAGTTTACAAGCTGGCAGACAATGATGCATTGACATCAATACAACTGAAGGGAGGGTTGAAAAACCCATAAAAGCGGACTAGGTTGAATCAAGGAGAGAGTTACATCTTTTGCTACTAAGAGGGGATCTGCTCCTCCTTTTTCCTTGAATGTATTGTTAGAAGCACATTAAACAATGTTCACATTACCAAATAATGAAAATAGTTGCTTATATGTCTAGCTCTCTGGCTGGATCTTTAATTGTTTCATTTTATCCAACATCTGCACAACACGTTCAGGTTGATCTTGCAAAATTAAAGGATCAAAACTTCCATTGACAATGAGATCATTCAAGTATAGAACTAGAGTACATCAATTGGGTGAATCAATGAGATAAGTTTTGTCAAGGAAATTACAAGTTGTTGAAAACCGCTAACAATCATATGGTAGTGTCACTAGCTAATACAAAAATTTATGTGATATTCTCTGGAACATATCAAGTGAAGATGATCTGCAATAGCCAATCAATAACTTTTCGATTTAACATCCACAATTTCAATTTATCAGAGAGGAATGACAGGGCACTGTTCATCTTCTTTATAAAAGGAAATTGCCTTCCATATATTCATGCAAAATTTCTCACTAAAAAAGAAATTAAAAAAGAGTAAGCACAAGACCAGTGTGAAGTATCAGGTTGGATGATGTGTTTAGCTGACCATTGCATCACATGCTTCAAGAAATGCATTATAAAGATACAAAATGGACAGTTGGTAATTTGATCATATGAAGAAGATAGACAAGGTTTGCTAATAAGGGGGAAAAATGATTCCTACATGCTTGCAAAAAAGCTTCCAAAATGTCCAATGCCAACTACATCTACCATTCTGAATTGCCTTCTCGAAATATCCTAGATAAATTGAAGCGCGCACGCACACACATATATATATATATATATATATATATATATATATGAAAACAGCACCGCGTAAACCACTTCTGCAATGATTTACATAAATCATTATTAGGAAGCATTTCGTAAACGAGCTATTTACAAGCAATAAGATTCCAAAACATATACATGCGGCAGAATGGAAGAAAAAAGATAGTAGAAGAAACATAAATAATCACAATTGGGATGTGACCTATTTATGTATTAAAATAAACTATTAATTTTGAGGCAGTTTTCTTGACCACCCCAATGCTTCTGCCTCTGTAACCTATTTCTGCCCTCTGCAGCCTATTTTTGGTGCAGTGAAAGGTAGCTTTTCAGAAAAATGCAATAAAAGTATTGTTTTATAGTTTTTCAATTTAGAACAAAAAGATTAAAGATCTCGTTTTAAAATATATAAAAAGAAAAAGTAAAAAGTTGAGTACGAGGCCCTAACATTTCTGTCTTGAGTGGTATTTCAATTTTGTCACGCTAGAACTCAACAAAGCAGAGAACACCACCTGTGAAGAATTTAAAGTTAGCATTTTCACATAGGTTTATATATCCAGCAGATTCCTTTTTCTTTGGAATACAACATGCCACGTGTCTTTTAGCTTTTTTGTCGATAATAATAAAGTTATACATTACTCCCTGTATAGTTTGACAAAACTAATCAATTCATCCTTATGGGCTTATAAATTATATATTTTATCCCTATATTTTGAATCCTTTATAACTCCGTCCCACTTCATCACTTTCTTTTATTCTTTTTTCAAGGAAATAATCATAAAAGAGAAAAAGAGAAATAAATAAGATGGAAAATTTAATTAGAAAAGAAGGCATTTTTATTTTTTGAACAAAAAACAACTATGCATATGGATTATGTTCAGGTTCAACAGTGGTGAAGGGATTATTTAATCATTTTCTATACTATATTGACTAATCAATTAGGTTTTGATGAACTATAAAAATTAAGTTATAATTAACTCTGAAAAGTATATAAATAAATAAACTTTAACTAAAAGGCAAACAAGGAAAGCAGTCTGAATGAGGCTGAAACACGTAGAATTACGCTGGTGAGCATTTGAAGATTCCTTTCAATCCTCATCTTCAGGGAAAAAGAAAAAGAGTTAGCTCGTCAAAGGCCTTTCAACCTAAGCAATGACTTAACTTTTTGTATGAAAAAATATGACTTTGTTGATCACAACTTTTGTATAACTGGGTATGCAAATTATTGGTTAAGAAATCTTATGTTATAGATCAGTGAAGCTATTCAATTGTATTATTATTACTGTTGTTGTTGTTGTGTACATAACATATATATGTACGGTATTCTATTCATGATTAATGTTATATAATTTTTACTGCCTCGATCTATGAAGAGGTTTATATAATTAATGCGAGAGGTTTATAAGAAGAAACACTCAAACGCCAAGTATGATCACATCCTTATCAAATTCTTTTATTTATTGATCCTCTTGGATATCTTGAATTATGCTTAAATATTCTTATAAAACTCATCAATCACGAAATCAATGTAATTTTTTTTTTTTTTTTTTACAATTGTTTTAATTTCCATCAGAATATAAATAATTGATTTTTCTAATTGTATTAAGCTTTTGTATAATTTTGAAATAATGGATACATTTTGAAATTCAAAATGTTTCAGTTGATATCTCAAGTGCAATTTTTCTTGCTCTTTAAATTCAATTTTGTTTAAAATCTCCATATATTATGATCAATACACACACACACATATATATATATATATATAAAAGATTTTTTATATGACTATCTATTTTGTTAAAAAGAGATTAGGTTGTCTCCCAAATAAATTTGCCAAAACGAGCTATTTCATTTCATGTTTGATACTTAGCAAGATATAGGTACGAGTGAAGAAGAGAGGATAAATAAAACTAATGTTTGGCTAATTAAGGAAGCAAGGAAAGAATTGGTTTTGGATTGGATGAGACAAAAAATACTAAATAAATGTGTCTAGCAATCAAAAAAAGGCAGTATTTGATATTGAATTGCCACCATATAACTGAATAACAGAAGGAAGAAACGAATCTTCCATTTCTTGAAAGGAACTTTCTTGTTCTTCTTGTACAAGACACCATCACCCACTACATTTCTCACCTTCATCATGAAGCTTCTCAAAAGCCTTTCACCAAAAGTCTAGCTAGCTAGCTAGAGAGAGAAAAAGAGACCAACTTTTCACTCTTATAAATTCTGCCACAAAGAATCAACAACTTCCCCCTGTTCCCTCTCTCTTTTCTGCTTCTATTCGTGAGTCCAAGTCCCAATCCTTAATTGTGTTCTCAAATCTTTCTTGATTCTTGATTCTTGATTCTTTCTCGCCCCCATCCCATTAAAGATTCACTTAAAAAAAAAAAAAAAAAGAAAGAAAAATGGCACTAGCAGAAGTACGTACTAACTATGTTTTGGTGCTGCTTCTTGTTTTCTTGACTATGGTCCCTAATGTTACGAGTAGCGTTGGAGTGAACTGGGGCACCATGACTACGCACCAACTCCCACCAGATAATGTGGTACAGATGCTGAAGGAAAATGGGTTTGACAAGTTGAAGTTGTTTGATGCCGATGAGAGGATTATGGCAGCTCTTATTGGAACTGACATTGAAGTAATGCTAGCTATACCCAATCACATGTTGCATGAGATCAGTCAAGATCCTATGGCTGCTACTGCTTGGGTTGATGAAAATATAACTAGTTGGTCTTATACTGGTGGGGTCAAAATCAGGTTAGATTTGCACATTTGTTGACCTCTAAACAATGCTTGTGTGGCTTTCCTTTTTCTATTGATCGCACCCTGTTTCTCCCTGCTCTGTTTGTATCTGCCTGTGATTGAACTAGCATTCCTGTTTCTTGTCCTCTATTTATCCTTGTGTTCTGCATATAATTCTATTTTGTTTTACCTGTTATCAAGATTCTGCAATTCCAAATCTTTTGTTTTTCTGATTAATTGTTCTGTTTGGATGTTTCTGATTAATTGATCAAGTTATTAAATTAATTAATGATATTTTCAGGTATGTAGCTGTTGGCAATGAACCTTTCCTGCAAACATATAATGGCACATATCTACATTCAACATTACCTGCTCTAAAAAATATCCAGCATGCCCTCAACCGCGCTGAGCTTGGCTCCCATGTCAAAGCCACAGTCCCCTTCAATGCTGACATTTACAACTCCCCTGAATCGAACCCAGTCCCATCTGCTGGTGACTTCAGACCTGATGTTCGAGACCTCACAATTGAAACAATCCAGTTTCTGTATGAAAACGATGCCCCCTTCACTGTCAACATCTATCCATTCCTAAGTCTGTACGGAGACCCTAACTTCCCGTTCGACTTTGCGTTTTTTGATGGATCAAAGAAGCCAATCACAGATGGTGACTCAATATACACCAATGCTTTTGATGCAAATCTTGACACCCTCTTATGGTCACTGGACAAGGCTGGGTTTCCTGACATGCAGGTCATGATTGGAGAAGTTGGTTGGCCAACTGATGGTGACAAAAATGCTGATATCCAAAATGCCAAGAGGTTCAACCAAGGATTGATTCGACACGCTTTGAGTGGAAAAGGAACGCCAAAAAGAAAAGGTAAAAATATTGAGGTCTATCTATTTAGCCTAATTGATGAGAATGCTAAAGCAGTTGCTCCAGGTAGCTTCGAAAGGCATTGGGGGATCTTTGAGTTTGATGGGAAGCCCAAATACGGATTGGATTTGTTGGGTTTGGAAGAGGATAAGGGTCTGACTCCAGTGGAGGGAGTAAGGTATCAGCCCAGAAGGTGGTGTGTTCTAGACCCTGAAGCAACTGATTTAACCGACTTACCAGATAGCGTTGACTATGCTTGTAGTCAATCAGATTGTACTGCTTTAGGTTACGGGTCTTCTTGTAACCATCTAAGTGCTCAAGGGAATGCTTCTTATGCCTTTAACATGTACTATCAACTTAAAAACCAGGGATATTGGGACTGTGATTTCTCTGGTTTGGCTCTGGTTACAGACAACGATCCATCTGATGAGGACTGCCAGTTCCCAGTAATGATTGCTTATGGTTATTCAATGCTACAGAATAGGAGTGGGCTTTTAGATGTATTACTTAGAATTATTGTCATCTTCTCACTGCTGCTTCTCTGATTCATGAAAGAAATCCCTCAGTGGAATCAGTCATGTGGTACAATATTGTATTTTAGCCTATAAATGTTACGGTCTACATAATTTTTTGTTTTCAAAGAATTGATCGCAAGTAATATGTTTGGTGTGATTTTTTTTTTTTTTTTTTTTTTTGGAGGTTTGATGCTAAACACATTCGAGGTAATTTAATTACCAATCAGCAAGTCTTAAGCAGGTCTTATTTGAAAAATTCTACTGTACCAAACTGAGTGGAGAATCAAATGAAATAAATCATACTTTTCAGGCTTAGTATGCCAAAGAAAATGCTGTTGTACCTTCTTTCACTCTCATATGCATCTCTATGTACTTCTCTTCTGATATTGAAAGGAGTAGATTCTTCAAATTTGAGATATCTTTCTCCAAGATAATAACAGCAAAGGATTCCCAATCTAAAACCTCAAAAAATGGAGGCATAAAGTTGTCAGATATTATAAATGGAACACACTCATTGAATATAGCTTCCACAATTCGTGGGTCGTTCACTTCATGACCTCTTGGACAAATGCAGAACTTGCTGCTCTTATTGTGTTGAATGCAGTTTCTATTACCCTTGACATGAGGCATTGGACCAAATATTTTCATGTCAGGATCTTTGCCCCAGTGCTCCAGCAAAATTAGCCTAACATAGCCATGCACGTTACCTGCAAAGAAAGCAAGGGTAGGTCTTTGGGAGGGAGGGTTGCTTCCAAATTTTTGAGAGGATTCTGAGCTGAGCGTACATATGTTTCTGAAAGAGACACATCTTTCCCTATGTTGAAGCCTACTTCAATATCAGCATTACAGAAGGCCCTGATGCAACTGAGCAAAGGTCCTCTGGTTTCAACAGGTGCCTAATAAAATGCACTTTATTAGATATTTTATACTTTAAATAACGGAGGCAGAGTGCTAAAAAAAGATATAATTGGGTGTTTCGTGCACCATACATCATGGGATGAAACAATCCCATGCCATTCTTGGTATCGTCACTTTAGGTTACTGTTAATATTTCTCAATAAGAAAGAGTTGATTTGCCAAAATAAGCCAGAACCTCAAGGATTTAGATAATTCTCTTTTTCCAATCGACTTGATTAATAAGATTCATAAACTATTTACATAACAACTGTATAAATTAATATTTTAAAATTTTGAATTTTAAAAGGGTGAAATAAACAAAATAAATCATAAAAAATTGAAACTCCAAAAAAAAAAAAAAGTCAATTCTTTTAATGTCAAGTTTAAGATAGTGTTTGGCATGAGGTTAAAAAAATGGTGAAAAAAAAATGCTAATAAAGTAAAGATTTAAAGGGCAAGTGTTAAGAGTGTAAAAAGTTCTAAGGATGTTTGCTAGGAATTGAAAAAATAATCAATGTCACCCTTTTTGGAATTTCCCCTCACCCATAAATGTTGCCAAACATAACAAAATTTTCACCCCTATTTACCATCATACCAAACATGTCATGAATGCTGTCGTTGGTGGACATCATGGTAATTGGCAAGCTTAAAGGCAGGGAAAAAAGGATAAAAAATAAAAAAAAAGGAAGTCACCACTTATTATTGACGGTCACTCAAAACTTAAATAATTGGTATGCTCAGAATTTTAAGGTAAATGCTTGACTGCGGATAGGAAAGATAAAAACATCATATCCAATCCAATCTAAAACAGCCAGTATCGTATGCATATCTAAATCTAATTTTTAGTTTTTTTGAATGATAAAAATATATCTATAATGATATGCTTTTTATCATGTTAATGATTGATCAATTGAGTGATTTGAGAATAAATTGGTCAAAAACCTTATCTCACTATGAGAAGCACAATCTGTTGGACTCAAGAAAAGTTTACACAAGATATTAAGAACGCAGGAAAATTAAAAAAAAAAAAATCGAGAGAATTTATTTGAATGGCGTAAACATATAAATTATAATTTTGAGACGATGTGGCCTCGAGTGCCATAAGAAATGATACAAACTAACAATTTGTGGTTTCAAAAACAATGTGACCTTGGTAGTCGTGATTTTTAAAGAAACTCAAAGGTTAGAGTTTTAAAAATGAGAAAATTTAAAAATTTTGATTTTTGAGAAAAACTCAAGAAGATTTTTGAAACGATACGAACTCAAAAGTCAATATTTTAAAAAATGACACAAAATAGAAAGTCGTTATTTCTTAGAAAAACTCAAAAAGATTATTTTTAAAACAACACGAACTCAAATAACAAGGGTTTTAAAGATGAAACAAATTCAAAAGTCTTGATTTCTCAAAAAGCTCGGGTAAACTCATCGACGAAGGAGACATAAAATCATTTTTCATGAATTCTTCTAAAAAAAAGAAAAATCAAACCCACAATGGCCAAACAAATTTTTTTTGCAAAATTCATTTACAATGACAATCATGGTTTTTTTTATAAGAATAGTCAATTCAAAACTTGTAAATAACACCAAGCATCACACTCAAAAGGAATTTCAACTCAAGTATTCGAGCATTTACATAGTTAAAGTCATATTAGGATTGACATTCGCCTCGATAATCTAAAAAATAAAATCTCAATTCTATCTTTTTAGCTCCATCATAGAGCATTGATTTCGATCTTATTTAGCCTCAAGAATTCCCAAGAGTCTCACACCCTAAGGGTTTGATACACAACAACTTATTGCTCGCCCTTCAAATTATCCACAATTCATCGATAAAATATCAAATATTCAGTATAAATTGAGGAACAATAATGGAACTAAAACCAACACAAAAAATAATAAAAATGATCAAAATACCCTTAGTTGCCTCAATAAATTATCATTTTACCAAGGGACAGCTTTTAAAATACCCAAAATGCTTCTAGCGCATTACTAGCAGATGCTTCTTTAAAATTATAGAAATGCCACCGTAAAAAAAAAAAAAAAAAAGCGACTTAGATGTTAGTTTGGATAGCCCTCAAGTAGCCACCTAGTGACCATTTCTCTATGTTTTTCCTCAAAATGATCCCAAAAACAACCTTAGGTTCCAATATTGATGTTCCTCTACATCTCTAAACAAGTTTCACACCACGCCGTAAGAATTGCAAGAAAAATAAACTCAAAACACTAATTTAGTCGACCTCTTAATTGCGTAATTTTGCCTTGTCTTTGGTTCACTTTCTAGCTTTTGTTTCTAGGGTTTTTCTCTTCAAAAAATCCCAACTTAAAGGCCTAGGACCTAGAATTGATGTCTCTATACTCTCAAATAAGTTTCATACCATTATCCGTCAAGATGAGAAAGAAAAATGAGTTTGAATACCCCTATTCAATCGAATTTGTAATTGTTTTTTTTTCTTATCTTTTTTTCTCCCATTTAACTAGCTTACTTCTAACCTTTGTTTTTATGATTTTTCTATTCAAAAAATCATAAACAAAGGGCTTCGGATCTAGATCTTATGTCTCACTACATCCTCAAATAAGTTTTATGCCATTAGCTACCAAAATAAATGAGAAAAACAAGTTTAAAAACTCTTACCTAGTCAAGGTTTGGATTGTGATAAGTGTATATGAAGACTCTTTTCTTGCTATTTTTATGTTGTTTCACGGAATTTAAACATAAGATTAAGCTTGCAAACTAAACAAAAATATCCCATGGACAAAATGAAAGAGGAAGAGGAAAGAAACTATACATGTTTTATACTAAAAAATAAAAATGAAAGGTGGATATCATAGTAACTCCAAGGTTTTCGACCTCCTTAGTTTTTTTATTATGGTTTTGGTCTCTCTTTTAATCTCATTTTCTTCCTCATGAGGTGGTTTTTGTTTTTTTCACAATCTCTTAACTCGTGTGTGTTTATGTGTGTGTGTGTGTGTGTGTGTGTGTGTGTGTGTGTGTATGTATAAAAAAAAATCCCTAAAAACTCTCTTTTCAAAAAAAATCTTATAAAATCATGCAATTGATGGTCATAATACTTTTGATGCCTATGATAGGACTTCTCAAGACCTTTTATAATTAAGGTTATAACTTACCACTTTTGTATAAGTCTAAGTAGCCATTGCCAAACTTGGAATTTCTTATTTTCTTCTCATTCGACCACCATCCATTCTAAGTGAGTTTGAGGCTTTAGGGTGATTGCTTGCAAGAGCTAATCTATTTGTTCAATGTATCTTCTAATCATACCTCCTAATCTAGGATTTGTTTTGAGGATTGTTTGACCATTGTTCATATCATCTTATTGGTGTTCATTTTTATTAATTGAGCAAAAGGATCATTCATCTTTCTATGTCCCTCTTAGATATTTCCCTCTAGCATTTGAAATTATGCCATTACAGTGTCAAGGTATGATGACCAATGTAGTTAGTGTAGCTTTTTGTTGCAGCTTGTCCATGGCTCATCATAAATGCTCTCAAAATTTTATGAAGAATTCTTCATCATCTATCAAATCTTAATAAAGTCATTATCACGTTTTTCTCTAAATTTTTGATGTAGTTTCATATTTTTAAAAAATAATATTAACTTTAAGATCATTTTTTAAACCAAAAAAAAGTTTTTTTTGATCATCTTGTAAAAACACAAAAAAAATTAGAGCAACTTAAAAAAATCATGAATTAAATTATGCAAGGTTAACAAAAACATAAGAAGCAAAGTAAAATGATAATGCTAAAGAATATTTATCCATAACTTAAATTACTCTTTATTGCTTTTGAATCTAAAGAGTTAAGTCCTCACAAGTAATATTTTTGTTATAACATCAAAATTCACTAGCATAGGTAGCTCATCATTCTCCATGTTCATCAAGACAGAGCCTCCCTGGAAAAAGTTTGTTTCACCATATATGGATCTTCATAAATGTCCTTCGTAAAGGGTTCTTGGATAGATTTTCCTATCATATACTCATGTCATTCTTTTCTTACATAATTGAGCATGACTAATAATCACAAGTCACTATAGGTGATTATTACTTTTTGTATGATTTTTTCTAGATTTTTGTATGCAGCTTCTACAGGTCTCATTCATCTTAGGCCTATGTGGTAAAAACTTGTGATGTTTGATCTCTTAGTACTAAAACAACTTCATGATCATCTTGCCGTTGAAATTTTAAGCATTTTTAGTTATCATTGTTTTTAGGGACCCATATCTACATATGATATCCTTTTTTTATAATTTGTTAGGAAACTCTTGGAGTGACATATGCTAAGGAATCTATTTCTTTCCACTTTGTGAAATAATTAATCACTATTAATATAAAGTGATGCCCATTACTATCTTTTAGAGTTATCGAGCTAATCACATTCATATCCCACATCATCAATGGTCGGGATGACACCATATTGTAAAGAGATGTAGGGGAAGCATTTATCTTATCACTATAGATTTGGCACTTATGGCATCTACACATATAGTTAATGCAATCTCTTTCAACGATAATCTAGAAGTATTCACCTCTTTAAATTTAACACATCATCAATCTGCTAGTATGTATATCATATATTCCTTCATCGATTTTTTTTATCACCTTCTTCGTTTTTATAACATTTAAGTATCTCGGTAGTGTTCCATTGAAACTCCAATTATACAAGGTTTCGCCATCAAAATAAAAGTTCATAGCTAATCTTTTGAGTGTCTTTCTATCTATTTTTTAAGCATTCATCAAGTAACCTCGAGTCTTTATGAATTGTTTGATATTGTGGTACCATAGCTTCCCATAATCTCATCCCCAATCAAGAAACAACAATATACAAAGGCATTCCTAGTCTCAATGAAGGTTGGCTAGATCTTCACACCACGACCAATTCTAGTTATGGAAGTAAGAGTAGCAAAGACATCGACAAAATGGTTATTTTCCTCAATCAAATAATTAAATTCAATTTTTTTTCAAACTGAGTAGCCAACTTTATCAAATATTTTTTATATGGCTTTAGTTTTTCATCTTTCATTTTCCATTCTCCTTTTACTTGAAAAATTATTAACAAGAAGTCACCATACACATCCAAGCTTTCAAATCTTTATTTTTAGCA